CGAGGCCGATGATCGGTGGGTGCAGCGGCCAGAGCAGGCACGCGTCGATAGAATTATCGACGGGTCAGAGGCTGGGCACTACTTTTTGCTCATGGGCGAGAAGGGGACCGGCAAGAGCAGCATGCTGATCGAGGCCATGCGTAAAATCGACGGCGAAGGCGTGGCCATGTTTGAGGCCCACGCAGACTTGGAAATTGTGCGCATACGCCTCGGCAAGGCCCTCGACTTTGAGTTCCATGAGGATTACATTGGCGGTTACTTCAGCGAACGCGGTCCTCGCGACACGACGGCTCTGTTGGATATCGAACGTGCCCTCAACAAGCTTGAAAAAGTTGCTCTGGTCAACCGTGAAACGCGAAAGAAGCCCCTGGTTGTCATCATCAACCAGATGCACCTGATCCGCGACGATGACGATGGCAAGGACTTGATCGAACTTCTTCAGCAACGTGCCGAACAGTGGGCGGCGTCCAACCTCGTGACAATGGTCTTCAACACGGATGACTACTGGGTATACGAGCGATTCAAGCAACTGGCTACGCGTATGGAGATCATGTCGGTGCGCGACCTGCCCAAACGCCAAGCTATCGCAGCCCTCGCAAAGTACCGCATGAAATACTTCAACGAGAAGTTGAGCCCAACGAGACTTGAGGAGGTATATGACCTCGTGGGCGGCCGACTCTCGTTCTTGAACCGCGTTGCCAAAAGCAGAGATATGATTGCTACGTGCAAATCCATCTGTGAGGTCGAGAAAACATGGTTCCTCAACCAGTGCTGGATTCTCGGCGCCGAGATGGACGACGATGTGATGGACCAGCAGAAGTGGGCTGTACGTAACGACCCCCCTTTCCGCATCGTCTCAAGCTGGCATGGGAACGCTAGTGGACGATCTGAACTGACAACAAATGATAGGCCGGCGCTATGGTTCTCGCTCAAGCCCTCGTAGATGAGGAAGAAGACATGGAGCTGTACGACGACGAAAAGGGTCACGTACTGCCCAGGTTCCCGATGCACAAGGCGCAGCAAATCATGACGCGTGCCGACTTCATACGTGACATGGACCGGCTCAACCTGTTTAGTATCGCCGCCAATGCTGATGTCCGCGCCTCATCTGTACCGATGCACCGCGCGTTCCAAGAGATCTGCGCCGAGAAGGGCTTCCGGGATCATCTGGAGGCTACGATCCAGCGTATCGGTGACATTGAGTCCCTTGGCCGCACGCGCGAGCTTGTCGCCAAGGACCTTGTCCTCGGTGGCAAGTACCAGATTGCTCGTGACGGCAAGAACGGTGTTACCGTCAAGCTTATTGAGGGTGAAGATTGAGGCATGTACGTCTGAGCCTGAGTCTGGTATGGCCAGGTCGTCAATAGCCCGATGGCGATGCGGAGTCCACCATCGAGGCTGCCACATTCAAGAGCCGAGCTACCTTACGAGACGAAACCGAGTGACTGTGATGGGACAGTGTGACGCGAGCTCAGATCTGATTGTCCGATCCTATGGCCCACCATGACCTATCAACTTCGAGGGCGACCCTTAGATCGGACAAAGATCTGGCGCTGATCGATTATGCGACTGGGTCGATGGACTCGGCCGATATGGGATGAAGCCTGAAGAGACGAACAGGATGACACCGGCTTGCCAGCTACGTGTCGTCCATCGAATGGAGTAGCTGAGAGTTGGATGTGTGGCCCATCCAGATTGCGACATGCGCGTTCGCAGGCACAATAATGCGTGGCTGGGAATGCGACGACCCCAACCTGTAAGATAGAGCACGTTTGCGATTAGATCCTGGGCTCTTTGGCTCGGGGAGAGGAGAGGGACATTGCGACAAGTTGCACCTGTCCCCCTGTACGATTGCCGATTGCACTATAGATTGCAGCCGCTCGAAAGATTTCTTTTGTATCCCATGACTTTTGTAGCCATCAATGTAAACCTGCCCTTGCTGTAATGCACGCCCAAACTCTGCTATTCCGTGGATACCAATCGTTCGTTCGTTACCATCGTGGCTCGGCACCTCGGGGCCCTGTACGGTGTAGTATGCACCGCTGCTCCAGCTCAATCTCGCGACAATGTACTTTATGTAGCAATGAACAGCCCATCAGATAACGCCGCTTGGAGTGGAGACATCCCCCCTCCCCATGTTCGACGACATCACGACTTTTGATGGTTCGACCAGGCCTGTCCCTTGTCGAATCTCAAGACACCACCTCGCCAGGCGATGTCACTGGGCGCGAATACCTACCTACTGCCTACCGTATCTCGTTGGTCCAAATTCTTTCTGCATGTCTCGGATTCGAGACGTTGGGATTGTACCCTCAGACTCTGCAGGTGTAAGGAAAAAAGAAAGGAGACTGGGTTAAGGTAGATGAGGCGGATGCGGAGGAAAGAAAATGGAAAAAAGCAAAAAAAAAAAAGCAAATCCTTGAAGATGAAAAGCACGTACCAATTTACCAACCAACCACCAACCACCATCCACCACCACCATCGCCCCCCCCCCGCGCCATTTCTCTCCCGCAGCGCGCCGCCGACCTTCCCGAAGCGCCGTCCCGGGGGATACCCTTCAAACACCGGCCGACGGTTCTGTGCGACGTGGACGGTGGCACGGTAGATTGGTCCAACGTTGACAGCGACATACCCGGCCTTTTCTACGTAGTGTGTAGCGGCGTTTGCTCTCACTCCCTTTCCCTTTTAATGCTCCCACCAGATCCATCCTCCTTCTCTTCCTCGGGGACTTCCTGGGGGGCCCTGGAGGGGAGCAAAATGAACTGCGGAGAGCCTCTCCGCTTTCCCAACGGTCGCACCACCTTCTTTCGCTGTCTCCAGCGGACCACCACCACCGCCACCAGTAATACCACAAATCATCCGATATCCGACTGGATACACGCTGCAGCGGAAGGTGAGGATGAACTGGGACAAGCAACGCACCAGGGCAGCCTTTCCCGCCCGAAGTATCCGACGTCTACGAAATGGGTGTCCTCCGCGAGCACTTTGCCCCCTCGGAGCATACCAGTTACCGGGCTGCCTGGATAGTACTGTAGCAGTGGGTAAGGTAGGTCAACCAAAGGAATCAACGGCCGAGATCAATCTACTCCGGAGGAATTATACCAAAACGAAAAAAACAATCAATGCTATCTCACATAGTACCAAAAAAACCCCCCGTCCATGCCTCAGACGTACAGATAAATACCCTGGGCCAAGAACAAACGGGAATTAGTGAAAGGGCCCCCAAATCTCTCCAACGTGACAACGCTCCTCTAGGCTCTCCAAGCTCCCCTGGCCTGGTCCCGTAGATTGCGCGCCATCGCGTCCCCTGGACGGCTCGCTCGTAGCTCCAACTGCACCGTGCCAGTGCCCCAGTGATGGCTATCAACAGGGGGGAGGAAGAATACCTAGTTGAGGAAGAGAGCTTGGAGGCCTGCCTGGAGGAAGAGGGGTCTCTGCAAGCTGCGGCGAGGTTAGCTCCTCACCCTCCTCCGTACTGCGTATCCTCTCGACCAGTGTGAGACTGCCGACTAAGACTGAAGGCAAAGATTGAAACTTTTCTTGGTCCTCAGCTGTGCAGCAGCAGCTCCATTTCCCTGCAGCATCTCAAAGCAACTCCAAGTCAAAGTCTCCAACTATCCCGTATCCAGACGTACAGTAGTCGCGTACGCCACCCCCCCCCCCGGCGCCCCCACTACACACCTCGACCCTGACCCTGAACCTGACCCCGACACCCCGGTCCCTCTCGTCCATGATCCATCCACATCGACCGGCGGCGCCCATCCAACGGGAGAACAATGTCCGCCTTCAGAACCGCTGGAGAGAGAAAGTCGAGACTCGAGAGACGGGCCAGGCAGTGGCCGAAGTGGTTCCAGATGCGATGATCAGCGTCCGTTGTATCTGAACTCCCTCTTACTTCTAGTTATCATTCAAGGTACAATGAAAAGTAGAGAGTACATGAACCTAGCTGCAGAGCAAAGGGATGGGCCCCAGAGTGAGTGGGTGGGATAATTCGGCTCTCACGGCCGTGTCGGCAAATAGGGATCTTCACTGCACAACCCATCGTTTTTGTCCGAACATGCACCCAAGGCCACGCTTCGGATGCGAATGTCGGATCATTCAAAGTCGTCCAAGGGAGGGGGGGGGGGGCGGCAGTGGATGACGCCGCTGCTCCATCTTATGCGTCTAATCAACGAAATACCATACCTCTGTACTGTAAGGCTGTCAACAGGCATGGGACACACAATGCGAGGCGAGAGGCAATTGTAAAAGAGTGAGGAGAGGCGCAACCAGCGCAGATTGTATTGTGTTGCGACCATACTCCTCCAGTGCCATGATAATACTGGCTCATATAGTACTTGCATGCATCGCCACCGACTTTCCCTGGAGCCAAATTCCGGGGGAAGCCGTTCAAACGAGCATAACAGTTGTTGCGATAAATTTCAAATCGGAACAGAGTCCGAGCCGCCCAGATCCAGACAGTTTCCTTGTCTGTCCCATTAACCCAAAAAGCCAATACGAAACCACAAGAGAGAAGAAGAAAATATAAGGGGAAAAAAAAAGACTGGCAGCCGACCCTCAAAAATACAAGAAAGGGAAACGCCGCCGTGCGGAGAGTAGGGAGAAAGAAAAAAAAGGATCAACGCGATGACAAGCTAGCAATTTCCCGACTGCCATCCCGTCTTGTTGTCTAGGATGCCAAGGTTCATCAATCGCTCCGCCCTCCCGTTGCCCATCCCAATCCCATGGCGTCGTGCGAAGCCGGAATGCAAGTGGCCCCTGTACATGATGTCGCCCCCCCATGACATGCTTCACCCAGTAACTCCGACCACAGTAGTGCCGACCCGAGGAGGAAAAGAGAAGAGTGTGAGTGAGAGAGAGAAAGGACGAGGGAAGAAAGAATACAACGCGCGGGTATACCGGGATGAAGGCAATAAAGAAGATAGTGAGAAGAGCATCTGGCGAGTACAAGAACAGCGCGGATGGATAGCCGCCATCCGCCGTGAACTGGCTAATGTAGTTCAGGTGCACAAGAAATCAAGTCCGAGGCGTCTGGCAACGCTCTGCCAGTCCCAGACAGCAATCCACTCGCCACACTCCATGAGGTGCCAGACTTCTTCCAGGACCTCGAGGACTCTATCGCAGTTGCGAAGACCAGTGTAGCCCCGGACCGACCGGATGATGCCTCGAAGTCGTTCTTGCTGTGTGGGGTCGAAGCATGTAGTACCAATGACCAGACTCGGCATCAGCAAAAGGGTAAGAGCTGGGTCCGATGGCTTGAATCCTTCCATGATCGATAGAGACTCGTCCACCGCAGCAGTGATGCGATTGTCATGCTGCTGCGGGCGGCGAACCGGCGGTGGAGAGGCTGGGCGTTGTTCATCAATCACAGCGCAGCTAGAGGACCCGGCATCGGACTCATGCATCGAGCTCGTCCTGGACGGTCCTCGAGAGTTTGGCTCCCGTTTGAGCTGCATCGAAGAGGGGAACCCAGAACCCATGCTGGGCCTCAGGCCGGGAGACGAGGCGCAGCTCGTGGCCGTAGACGGCCTAGAAATTTGCGAATGCCGGCGGGAGGAAGACGACGAGGTTGAGGTGGCGACAGATGTAGCTATAGAGTAGACGGAGGGCCGTCTCTCTGGAGAGGTAGGAGGGTAGATTGTGCGGAAGAGATGCAGGAACATCATGTGTTTGTAAACCAGCCCAACTCTGTGACGGCTATCACCTGGTGGCCAAAGAGGCATCCATTGCTCAATAGCCTCTTGAATCTCCTGCGCTCGGTACAGAACGTGATACGTCACGACAGTCTCGGCGCGTCTGTAAATGTTATCCCGGATGACGTTTCGGATTGTGGTGATTTGGCAGAGATGTTGGAACAGGCCATCAGCAACACCCAGAAGACGAGGCGAGTCCAACGGAACCAGGGGGCTCCAGTCTTCGGAAGCCAAGCGTGGACGGTTGGGCGCGGGATGCCAGAGGAGTTCGTCCGCGTAAATGTGGTACTGGAAGAATTCGCTGATGAAGGCCAGGAAAACAGGATCCTCTGGAGGGCTCTCTTGGATCAATTGCTTGTATCCGCTCAGGTGAACACGATGCGCTCCATGAGATTCACCTTCAATCAGCGTGGTGACCAGGAGGCAAAGGATTTGGGCGTAGCGAGCCGACAAGATTGTTTCGCGATCATCAATGTCCTCCTCCGCCGAACGGTTCATGTCGGCGTACAGAGTCTTCATCGCTTGTTCCTCGTGATATGCTGACCGGGCCTGTAGCGCTTCTAGGGTGGTTGTCGGATTTCTCTCGAGTAACTTGGCGCCGTACGGTGTATCAAAGTCGATGTGTTTGCTACTCATGGCCAGGATCGAGTGCATCACGCCCTGGTGAAGGTTTGCCAAAGGAAGAATAATGTCCTTGAAGGCATTCTTGGCTTCTCCCTCAACAGTCAGGACGTTGCTGAGGTGGACGCCGTAGTGTCTCCAGAATATCTTGTCCTCGATCGTGTCGACGCCGTTGAAAAGAGGTTGCATGGTGAAAACGAGCGACTCCTCATCCCCAACGTGATCTTCTTCCGAGTTAGACCATCAACATATTTGCTGGATTCATAAGCGAGCACTTACCAATTGTTGCCTTTTCTTTGCCGCTTCTCCATAGCTTCTTCTCATGATAGCCCTCGCAGACAACAGCATTCTTCTCGCAATTCATACCTGCTTACATGTCAGGGAAAAAAGTCCCAAGCAGTGAGTGATACGGCAGCGACACTTACATCTCGGCTTCGCCTCGTCACACTTCTTCTTCCGTCTCCGACAGGTAATGCAGCCCGTCTTGGATCGACCCTTGGTCACCTTACTCTGGTTGATGATGGATGCTACAGGATGTTTGCGTGGTCTTCCTCGGGGTCGCTTCTGCTTCAGTGAGTTTGTGGCCGAGACCAAGGTAGTTCCAGTTTGCGCTAATGGGGCCTCCTTAACATCGCCCAGCTTTAGATCGTCGTCGTCCGTGGGTTCTATTTTAGGTATGATGGCAAAGGTGTCGTCCGACTCCTGTTCCCATACAATGTCGTTGTCAGCATCGTCTCCATCGCACGTATCGGCGTGGCCAGTGCTCCAGGAATCGGTGCAGGACGAGGATGCGGAGTGTACGATTGTCGGGTCGCCGGACGGCTCTAAATGGGGAATATCTACGGCGGCGCTGACGGGAGACAGCTGCCCGGAGAGAGAGTGAGGAATGCTGGTCGAGGCCATCCAGGCCGCTGCCGTTTGGGAGGTTGGTTGGTGTGGAAGCAGCATGTCGTCTTGCATGTTGTCGTCTGAAGAGTTACTGTGGTGGTCCGACCATGAGAGATCCCCGTCGTCCGAAACCATTGAGAGAGAGGTAGAATCCATGGCTCGTCACTAGCGAGACCATGCCAACACGAAATATTCAAAACCGGTGAGATTCTGGTGGCCAGTTGTTAAAGCGATGCGTCGAAGGTGGAATGCTGGTGCGGTGGCGACAGGATAGAATCTGGACGGCCTGAGTTGTCGATCAATCGTTGAGTCTGGTGAGAGCTACGGGATGTCGAATGGTGTGTGAGGTCGAGCAGGGAGGAAAAGAAAGGACGGCAGTCAAATGATATCTCTCTCGAGGACAAGTGACCAATGTCGAGATACATGAGACAGGGAAGCGGGCGAGGAGTCTTCTGAAGATCAAGACCGTTGCGGTCCGCTCAAGAAGAAGGGAAAGGCTGATCACTGGGAAAGCCGACGTGGAATGGAGGGGCTGAGATGGGGTGGAGAGATGATCGCTGGGTCTTATTTGGGAACCAGCTTGTCGTCGAGACGAAGTGGGAAAAGAAAGAGGGTCGTTGGACGACAGGATATGGGGCCAGCCGCTTCGAGGGGCGGGATATGCATATACATATCTGCAGATAGCTGCGCTCCTAGTGGGTGGGAAGTCGGGACGGCGACAGGGTCTCGAGGTGAATGAGGGAAGACATGCAGAGAATCGATGTTTCTCCCATACGCACTAAGGCCCCCTAGCACATTGGGTAGCTCCCCTCAAGCAAGGTGCGAGAATGAATGGCCCATGGGATGGGGGTACGGATACTTCATACGGAGCATGGGAAACAAGACTGTCTGCCTGCCAGTAGCCTCCGTACGAATACATAGTACCCACACGATGGATGGGCGAACATGGGTGAACACGGGCGGATAAGGACGGTGTGGGATGTGAGGTGAGCAGCGAAGTGGTGGTGAGGTCTCACGTCGCACCGACTTGTGCCAAGACGACAGCCGGGGTTTTGATGCTCTCTGCTGCCAGCTTCCTTGCTCCTCCGCCCCCAGGGCAGTCCCTATCTGTGCCGTCAGTGCCGTAAGGAAGGCCATGCTAATTAAAGAGCCCAGTGGTCACCGTATAACGACGAGGGTACTCCGTATGGAGTTCTACTGTATGTACGGATAATCGTAGAAAAGACACGAACCGAATCGCTGTCAGCTTGGCTCTTGTCGACGGTGGATGACAAGTGGATTTCGGGGCATCCTTGACAGCATCTCTCTCCTCTATCTGCGATAGGTACATTTGTGCAGTACTCCGTACGGCGTACTAATTACAAGGACTGGTGCTCACCGTCGTCGAGAAGCAGAGAGGAGAGTAAGTAGGCGTGAACAGGCGACGTAAGACAGAGAGACGAGGAGAGAAAGAAAGAGTGAGAAAATGGGTGCCTTTCTCAGTCTCTCTCTCTTTCTCTCTCTCGCCAACGTCCTGTCCGCCGCTCCCACATCTCGCCGGGCCCCTCCTGACTCCTCCATCAGCCCCGGTCGTTGCTAGCGCAATATGGCCGACAACCCTTGCCAGTGACAGCAAGGTACCCTCAAGTACTGCAAGTCGCTACCCGCACGACACCACCCCACGATGGTGTCAAGAGCTGTGATTCGCCGTCGTAGATTTTCTTTTGGCTTTGACCAGAAGCTGGCTTGGCCAGAAAGCTGGACTGTGCGTCGACTCCTTGAGTCCTTGGGCTCAAGTCATGCGCGGCCATGTTGTATCGCGGAGACTCCACCTCGACTGCTTGAGACGAAGTGAGCAAGAAAACCATTCTTTCCTACACTAACAAGAGTGAAAAGTGAGAGACGACAGCCCGTTTGTCTTTTCTGCAGGCTGGTCAGTATTGACCATGACGAGACCAAGAGGGGACCGGCGACCGACAGTCGATCGTCAATTCGCACGACTCATGAGTCGACAAGTTCAGGCCAGCTAAGTGGCCGGTTTTTTGAAATCGCAATGGATCTATCCGTATTGCTCCTGCGCCTTGGACTGGTTCCGTTGGCGGAACGAAGACATGGCAATCGGCCGACAGCCGCCATGAAGGTGAAGAAAATTGACCGGGACGATGCGAGACAAACCTGACAAGGAGGGTGCATCATTGCTTGGGATCGCGTCGCGTTGTGTCAAGAAGAGTGGGGAGATGGAGAGAAACTCGGAGATGGACATCGGGGGAGGGGGGGCTCCAACAGTGAAGGACTCAAGAGTCCAGACTATTAGGTACTGTGCGAGAGGCTAAGAGTAATAAGGGCACCTTCAACCTTGTCCTATGGTAAGCCGTATGTATTAGTCGTGCAGGAGTCAGGACCCAGCGAGACGAGAGTCCAGGGCAGAGATGGGATCACGGTGGTTTGCTCCATTTCGGGCACAAAGCGAATTGAGCCAGCGTTGGTCGGTACTTGTCCATGGGCGTTGGGGCAGCGAAGCGTAGGAGAAGTCTCTGTACCATGATATCATGGTGGACTGTGAGACCCAAGGTCATGCTTCTGAGGCCTGTCACTGCATATGCAGGCGGCTGGATTTGGAAAGACGACGGGCTCTGGTCAGAGTCAACTGTCAAGGTGAAGAGACGGGGCGGAGTAGTCTATCGTCGGTTGGCGAATCAGCAAAGAGCTGGTGAGCGATGTGCGGCGTGACTGGCCGGTGCTGTGCGCGGAGCCATTCGTGGGTGGGGGTGGGACGACCGTGGAACCGTGGGTGAGTGGCATCCATGGCATGGTGTGTCGGAGTCTGTGAGGATCATGATGGATGGCATGGAGTCTGGAGATCCAGTCAGGGTCACAGACACGAAGAGTCTGTGGTCCTGTCGGCCGAGATGGCGCGCCGTGAAGGAAGGCAAGGCGAGCCGCAAAGAGCCGGGGGAACACAGCGCCATCTCGACTGCCATGGCATGTACCTCGATCCATCGCGTGGTCGTGAGCCAACCACGGCAAGGTCTAAGAGATAATGTAGCCCAGACAGGGCGTCGAAAGCGCCTCAGCTTTGCAGGTCAGCTCTGGTAGGGGAAACCTTTAGGCAGAGACAAGTCGCCGCCCAAAGAGAACGAGTGTCAGGACTAGGGGCGCCGCGGGGTTCGCAGCAGTTTGGAAAACCAGTAATGAGCCATGGAAGCTTACGATGCATGGCGATGTGTCAGTTTGGCAATGTGAAGGAGAAGAGTATACCAATGTATGCAGGTATGGCTGGCTGAGATGTAGGAGCCGGGGGGGGAAGAGGGTTCGCCTCAGATTGAAACTTGTCGGGAGCGGCAGAAGTCTTGTTGCGTTGTTCTGGTTGGTGCCATGGCGCCCTGTCACTGCAAGCAAGCTGCAATGCAGATGCGGCGCGCTGGGCCGGGCTGCGTGGGAGGCTGGCTCTGGCTTAGTGGCCGGGGCTTCAACATGATCAGGTTGGTGCTGTTCTGATGTTGTTCGTCGTCTTGTTTCTTTTTCCGAGTACTGTGCGTTCGTGGTCGTCGTGGCCGTCGTCGTCGTCTTGAATGTGGCTGTTCGTCGGCATCGAGACTAGGGTGCAAGTTCAGGTTCGGGATATGGGTACCTTGTGGGAGGGCTTGCCAGGGAGGATTTGCTGCGTATTGTCTTGGGTATATTCGTGAGGATCGAGTGGTGACAGAGACATGGTATTGGCGAGCAGTCTTGGCCGGCGTCTCGCCTAGTTGGTGGTCTATTGCCGGCGGAAACGAATCGAGAACTTAGAAGGTCGGCACCTCATCGAATGACTGCGGGCCGCCAGGGTTCGGAGGTATGGGGGCGCTGGAGCACGGGGGCAGGCCGCACGGAGGCTGGAGTCTATCCGTACGAAATATGCGTAGAGTGATGAGAGCCTGGATAACGAAACATAGGGAAGATGTCGACATATCGGGAAAGTGGAAGTATCCGTAGACTCCATGTTCAATTAGGGCGATGATCTAGGGCGATGTTAGCCTGTTGCATTCACTGTTAGTGGCTCCCCCGGTGTGTTCAAACCTCAGAGTCCAATCTTGCAGGGCCCAGCACGTAGTGGGCACGACCCTGACAGTTGATGGGGGGTCCCTGGGACCAATCCATGCGTCTCTCAGAAACCCTCTCGTCTAAAGATGGTGTAAGTGCCCGTGGGGGAATTGCAGCATAGTTTGGTGTCGATGCTGTAGCCTGTAAGTGCTTCGGATTGAAAAGAGAGTCAATGGAAGTTAAGGTAAAGTCTGTGGCACCACCGAGGTCAAACTGCAATTCCTCGGGCAATTGCTCAGACAAGTAAGAGTGAGCCTGAGGTTTGCCTGTGTTCTCTGCATGAGGTGAGGTGAGAGGTCGACCCGGACTTTCCCAGGCCCCAAAGTACCTCCTCCACCACTTGCCTTAGTACTCCGTACCTTGTGGTATACTATGTAGGTACCTTAGGTAAGGAACACAATGCATGCATGGAAGGTATGGGGCAAAGGCAGGAAGGGACGATATCTGGTGCACTTACTAAAATGAGTACCCAAGGTATTATTGTAGGCACACCCGTACCTTACTTTTGCGAGGTGCCTTCCACTACATCCGTTGAGGTTAAAGTAAGAAAGGTAAGAGGTCCCTGGTATTCCGTGCGTCCCTTCCTCTTCCCATCTGCCATCCTGCCACCACTGGTCACCGGGCCCCTCTATTCGTAGTCGTTTCCCGGTCGTCTGTGCACCAAGGTGGGCGGTTCACGAAGCAGACATGGCTGTGCCTTCCCGTGCTCCCACTGGACCTCAGCCAGGATCCCTCCTTCCTCCAAGCTCAACCTGCACGCACCATCCTGTCTTCCTACGAATGGAAGGTCCATGCCTTTCTTCATAGTTCGAGGAAAGGGCTCTCTCCCGGGTTCCAAGGCAGGCCAAGCACTTACGGAATGGAAAGCAGAGAGATCTGTGCCTGCTTGCCAAGGGGCGTCGCGTAAGACAGCTTTATCCATCCTCGTGATCCTGTGCTCTTGACCTTAAGGTAGGTAGGTACACTGTCGGTATCTTAGGTGGATCTGCCTCGCCGGAGAAAACTCCGCATTTTGTGCCGGACACTCCCGAGCTCTCATGACCGGGCAAGAAGACGACATTACGGTCCTGTTGCCCAGCCCCATCCATCGGCGGTTGACCGAGACCCCTTCCATTGGTGCAACGGTCTACGGATACGCATGCGCAGAATGAACACCTATCCGTACAGAGGACCTGGTGCCTTTGTTGACCTGAGCCTGCACACGTTGACAATGGAGGTCACGGCACGACCTAAACTCTCACTTTCGTCAAACTCCCCACACGGTATCCACTGCCATCAACGTCAAATGCGAGAATGAGATACTAATTCCAAACTCAAACAGAGCGACCACATGGGTATCGCTTCTCCAAGGTTTGACCTTCTCTCGTGTCCCGTCCGTCACGGCCCTGATGCTGATGGAGTGTTAGCGACCATCTGCCGGTGCAACGCGAGCCTGCCCCCACGCCCGGCACATGGGACAGGGGACTTGGGGCCCCTCGAACCTTTGTCTTTCGTATTGGCCATGATCGGACAAGTCGGAATCCCATACGACTACAGTACTCTACATAGAGTCTGGACCGATGATCTATACTTCGCACCAAAGCACAGATATTCGAACTAGATTCGGCTCTGCTCTGTCGTCCGCTCTAGCTAGGAACGTGGTTCACCTGCCTGCCTAGACACTGCAAAGCGAGCCATCCGAGTCCACAACCTCTGCCTCCCTCGTGTTCTACACCTCAACATCCGTATGCTGCTCTAGAATCCATCATATCCCTAGCGGCAGAGTACAAGAGCCCGTAAACAACCACTGGATTACTTCAACGACTAGCTTCAGGAGGGCCGTGACATTCCTAAGCGATGATGCTCATGCCCTGGCTGTCTCGCATCCGCTATCGATCAACTAAATATCCGTGCCAGGGTAAGGCAGCAGAAGGTTCGGAGCCATTGGTGCATCTCAATCCTCCCCACATACCCTGTTTGACGACTCAGGCATTGTGGTTGCATCTCATCGCAATGCGTCCCTTCGCTCTATTCCTCGGGGCTTGCGTCGGAAAAATCTCTAACAAAGTTGGCCGCTTTGCGATGCCATGGTTATTGGCCATTGAGAGGGCCACACGGCTCAACAGAATCAGCATCACCTGTGCTCCCATTACCTTTGGAAGAGCGGACTGGACAAACCACCCCCTCCTGTCGTCGCCGCTGTGGTCAAGACTCCAACTTTTTTCTTTCGTTTTCGCACGCGTATCAAGTCGCGACACTACTCCAAGCAACCAGACGAATCCAGTAGTTCTGCCATCGCGGACAGGACGAGTGGCTAAGACATGCGTACGAATACAGTATGCACTTACACACGGTCTTAGCTCCGGCTAAACTCGCTCATGGAGGTCAACTTGGACTTTCTCCCGGCCGGTCATACTGGGTAATCTGATAGAGGCATGTCTCGGATTGCCTAATTCGGTACTCCAGAGCCATGGGATCCCTGGTTGGCCGAGGCTGACCCAGACGACCTCCAGGCCAACCCAGTCAACAGTCTATTGTCTCGCCACTGGCGCGGCCCATGTCCTTTCCGAGCAAGGCTTTCATAGGATGCTCTCAATGATACTGCGCCTAGTTACGCTTCGACCCTCTGCTGCTTAACCAACCCCAGCTTATCGTCACATATCACATACATGTGAGTACGACAACCTCCGTGCCGTGCGGACGAGACCAAGTCAGCCTAACAGCATTAACAGCGCTGCTCCTGGGCAATGGCAGCGGGCAGCCGATCACTATCCGAGCATCGCCGAGTTTCTTTCATCACTTGAACGTTGTGAGACTCTGCGACAACCGACCCCGTTTAACTTGAGACGACAATAGAGGAGCAAATAAAGTGACGACGACAAAGGCGGAGAAGGGTGCCGCCCGAGCGCAAGGCTTGGCCCGTTGTCGGATCTGGCTACCTCCCGTCGCCTTTTGACTTTCGAGACGGTGCGTGCCGTCGACGGCTGGTCTCCACCAACATTGGATCATCATCAGTGCGCAATCGATGCCAATCGACCTTCTCTACCCGCTTGTCCACCACCACCACCTTCGGGGCCTCGAGTCACCACCTTACCTACCGTGTCAGTGTGGATGGACACATGTATCCGTACGCTGGGTATGTATGGACTATGGATCATGATTACTGGTTGCTCAAGGAATCTCGATACTGTGATCTGCCCCCTCTCCGGTGGTACCTGAGCAACGGTACGGATAATTCAAGGCCTTCCTGCAGGGCCTATGTGGGCGCAGATGATGCGGCGACTCGGCGAGGGGCTATTTATTTTGCAGCTAATCCACCCACATAGTTACCTACCTGCTTGTCATCTGCGTTCCCATGCTCCATGACCGGTGTCTTTTTCACTTACACAAAGCCCTTCGGCCTACGTACACGTACACGCTGAGCAAATGGCTGCACATAACTCAAGGACTGCTCTCTAATAATCGGCTTGCATTCCTCCCATGACCAGGCTCAGCCGAAGAACTCACTTCTCGACTTCTCATACACAGTACTCTGTCTCCGACGGGGCACTACTTTAACTCACGTCGACCCTAGATCCATGGCCAACAGCACCATTCCTTGTCCATGCCTGTCGAAATGGAGGGGAGAGGAAGTCGATCTAGCTAAAATTGTCAGTAGCGGGGGAAAAGGGAAAGCGAAAAAGATACATGACAGTACTTTCCACCACACCCTCCGAGAGACAGCCGCAACCCTCCACTCATTGGTGCGCATTCGACTCGTTTTGCGATTCACCTTCCTTGCCCTTGGCGGCTGTGGTTTTGGCACTAAGGCTGTGGGGGGGCTTGTTGCTTCTGTGTCCTCGATGCCCGGCAGGCATCTTGCTCTGGTTCGTCCGCTGGCCCTTCGTGCGTCTCCATCCTCAACCGAAAGGGGTCCTTGTTGGAGAGCAACCTGAGAC